TTTCTGTGCTGATTTACAGACAAGAAACATGTTACCATGTAATTTTCACAATCAAGAGTAATCTTCTCTGTCTGAACCGTTTCTTCTACCCAAAATAGTGGGTCTTTTTCTCATCTATTGCATCTCTTGTGAGACTTTTTTCAATGTAGATGAGCTTTAGGAATTTCAAAATAGGAGACTGGCACAGGCAGCAAGTCTTTTTGTAAAACTAAAATAATTCAGATTAATTTTCCCTTAGTGGCCCTGGAATTCCTCTTTTGTTACCAACTGGATGAGAGATGTTGAATTCTTCTGCTTTTAATGTCCACCACTGAATTGAGTAAGACACCTTTCATGTTTGCTTAGGGTCTGCTATTTATGTTTACTGTAAATTTACAAAGCAGTAACTACTGCAAAGACCAGAAGTGCATACTACAGATTAACGTCCACTGCCTGGATATAATGCATCCAACGAAAGATGTGTGCAAAGAACAACTCCCTGCTAATATCTGTCAAACTACTAAATGATGAGCTCTAACAGAAATCTGCTTTTTAGTCTTTTATAGGTCATGAAAGTGCTCTGTTTCTTGTGTGGAAACATCTACACTTCTTCCTGAAGGACACTATTTTTCATCTAATTATGAGCGCAGTTAATGATGGTATAAGTGAACAGAAGCTTTCTTTCTGGAGTCACTTTTCTGGGTGAAGGAGAAGGAAAAGGGTGGAAGGCAAGATGAATAGCAGATAAGATCAAGTGTATTGTTTCTGTTACTTTTCACATGTAAATAATTATGAAATTCACAAAGGGCTAAGGAAAGCTACACACAGATAGGAATACAGCTGAGAAAATAGCAATTAACTTGGGGACAAACTTTCACTTTATAGACAAATCCTGAACTGTTTAAAGGAAACTGTATAGTTTTAAATAACATTACAAGAAACATCGTGTCATAAAAAAAACTTCACTGGGAACTACTCCATCATTATGAGCAATATGTTCCATATTTTAATGAGATTGACAAGAAAAAAGATCAGTGCTTTTATACTATAGAAGTATATATATATAATATTATATATATATAATATTATATATACAATTCTATGCCCTTTACTATAACAACTATTACAGTTGATTTTCACACATTTCCAAAGGATCTTCAAAGGCCTCCACAACGTATGTCTTTAAAATAGAATTTCATTCAGTAATTTATTAAAGAAATTGTTCCTTCTTCAGCAGTAATTTCAGTGGGAACTAAGTGCTCTCAGTGTCTCAGAGAAATCTTCCAGAAACATTAATTCACTTGAGAGGATGAACATACATTTCCTTTAATTTTCCATAGATTTTCTCCAAGTCACATGTATGTGACTTTAATTTTATGTAACTGACCTAGTGATAGGAACCTTCATTTCCAAAAATGGTGCTTTTAGCCCTGTGGGACATTTCTGAATGCTGTTCCATGTGTATGTTTCACAACATTGAAATTCAGAAGGATCTGGATGTTTGGTGATGTCAGTAACAAGCTTGGGAATAATTATATCTTTAATACATCTAGTTTTGAAAGCTTGTTTACCACACATACCATGCTAACTGGAAGATTTATCGTAATTTATGTAAAATGGTTGCATTCTAGTCACTAATCCAACAAAATGCTTAATCTTTACAATTTAATTTGACTTGTAAACAAAGACGACCTGGGCCGCTGGTTCAACAAAGCAAGGTCTTTTAGAACACTGAGATCTTGAGAAGTCCTATTGTGGAAAAGCAATATAACTTGCACATACTCCAGGTTGAACATAAATCAAAGTGGATCAGGTCAAAAGTGCTGGACACATTGGAAAATTAGTTTAATATTCAACTTGTAAAATTATCAATGTTAATTTTACAGTCGCACATGATCATTTTACAAATACAGCAATCAATAACAGAAGTAAGAGACTGTAGAACACAGGCATATTGCAAAATGAATTCAGTCAATACATATACTGCTTTAGGTGACCAAACCAGCTGTTGGATGATTTATGACATGCATTTAATGCCACATTTTTGAGTAAGAAAGTAAGAGCAACAAAACTGGATCATATCAATGGCTTAGTTATTCTGTCTCCAATACTGACCACTAGTAGAAAATATCGTGTTTAGGATAACAAAATCCTTTCCCTTTCATCACAGTTTCTAACAGTCCAAGGGTTAGGAATTTTTTGAGGCAGTCTCTATAGAATTGTATCTGGCAGCCTTTAATTTTGGGTGTTTCTTTTCATCAATTTATTTTTATTTATTTTTGACATATTAAATTTTGACAGCTGCATTGATATTGTTATCAAAGCAGTTCAGGAAAACCCTATTATCGAGATGATTAGCACAACACTTGAAAAGAAATTAAGTACAGCAGTACTGTAATTTCTGTAAAGAGGTGCAAGCTGCAGCACAGAAACATTCATTCCTTTGAGGCAGCTTCATAAATTTGCATAGTTATTTAATTCCTTTGTAGTTCACATGAAAATGACAGGAGAGCTTGTTGCCAAACAAAAAAACTTCTTTGAAGGAAAGACACGATTTTTCACACATTTTTGTTATAAGAATGTCACACCTGAAAGGATTACATGTGTCAGCCAAATACAGCTACTTTTTCTTTTTCTCAGCATCTCTATAATGATTTCTTCCACCCTGCCATTTGCAGTTGAAGCAATCACCATGTCACACCTTGATGTCTGCAGCACCATGTTCTTCCTAAGGTAAGTATTTCTCAACTCAGTCCATGCTGAGATCAGGTTATCAGCTGAGCAGCACACCCATCTCCTTGAAAGGGTGTCACAGTTTTTTCTTTCCACTATGTTAGACTTAACACTGTTACAATGCACTATCAAAAGCTTGTACAATTTTACCTCTCCCTACTGATCTACCTTCATCTTATTCTCCAGTGGTCTGTCAATGATAACAACTTCACCTTGTCACTATCTGTTTTCTGGATGTGTCCAGTCTACCCTCCTTGCTATTCAGGATGATCTTTCCAGACCTCAGACAGAAATATGCTTCATAGTTAGACTTCTCCATACATAAACTCTAATTGAAGACACCAAGGTCTTCTGATGTCCCTGAATAGAACTGGTTAAGAGAGTGGACTACGTTGGAGGACTAGTCAAGGCAGAATTCACAAGTCCGATAGAAAATAGGAATTTTGTCCCTGTTTAACATGCCCTGCTTATGTAAGTTGTGTGTTCACTCATCTATGTCATGTACTTATTGAGTTCCAGAGTTTCTGGAAGTGGTTTAGAAATAATAAAAAAGACCTAATGACAATATATAGAATTTGAGTTGACAAGAGCAGGAGACATTACAATCTTGCATTTTGGACTTCAGAAGAACCATCCTGGGATTGATGTTTAGAGATATTCTTTCTGAAGACTTTTAATATACTCAAACTAAGAACTTCTGATAGTTTAAAAATTTCTGACAAAATACTTTTGGTCAAAACCAGAGTTCTGGGAAAAAAAAAAAAATCAGCAAAAAACGGAAAGTCTACTCCTCCCAGTGCTCCCAAACAGTTTATTTTCATTTCTAAAATACAAAATCTGAAAAACGAAATAGTTCCCCCTTTTTCCTTTCTTTTAAAGAAAAAAAAAAGAAAAGAAAATGTGAAAGAATTTTAATGTAAAAGCAAAACAGTGCTAAACAAAGCCATTTTGAAAATATCAGAAAAAATAAACCACTGTGACAAGTGATGGTACAAAGTTATGTGGGGTAAAAAAGTACAGGCTGTCTGTGCCAGGTGCATAATGTTGCCATCCAAAGGTTGAAGAAAATTTGCAAGAGTAGGGCTAATACAAGTCAGTTTAGAAACTTTTAATATATGCCTTTTAAAAGCTACATCTCTCAATACCATGTCTACTTGCCTTGGAGGTGAAAGGCCAGGGGATAATCTTCTGTACTGTGCCCTGGTTTGAGTTTCTCAAAACATCTTAAAGTCCTGACAGGATTATCTCTGTTTAGCCCTAACCCTACCCCATGTAGAACACAGCTTTGTAGAGACCTCAGCAAAACTCATGTGATGAGACCAGTGAAGCCTCCTTGGATCTTTGCTAGTTTTTGAAAAAGTGATAGATTTGCTAATATGTCATATTATAGCACCATAGAATATTAGCAATATGGGAGCAAGTTGTTATATAAATCATCACTGACCAGAGCTGTAATATCCCAATCAAATATATGATCTATGTTATATTATTTCTGGTTTTCATAGTAAGCAGGTAGATAGGTAGGTATGTAAGTGATGCCATTCTCTTCCTTACTCTAGATTCCACTTTCATCAGGGCTCCTGTCTAGTTCCTCCTGTCAGTTGCACCAGAGAAATAGCAGTTTTTAAATGCAGCTTTGAAAAAGCTTTTAAAAAGTAACAATAACAATACTTTTACATTGAGAAAACTTCACAACAGTCAGTTTTTCACTGAAAAAATACAGCCTGGTAGTAGGTTTATCACAAGAACTGTGTGTCTTATGCATGTATCACATACATATATGTGTGTGTTTTCAATTTGCACTCAACAGTGACAACAATAAGGGACAATGGATTTAGCACTGACATCTTTGTCCTTGCAAAAAGGACACTTCTGCTAACTATCTCCTCTGTGTTTCAGGTTAGCAAAGTCTATTGACAAAGTTTTCTATTTGGATGAGCTGTTTACATTAAAGGGGAAACAACTGTCAAAGAAGAAGTCTTAACAGAGATGCAAAACTAAAAAAAAAAAAAAAAGCTTATCATGGATTAACGTTTGTATCACTTTGTCTGATGTAAAAAAGAGATAATAGGAGACATAGGGATATATGCAATGAAGAGAAACAATACAGAGCTTCTTAGGGGTTAATCCAGGTCTGCAGCTGAATACAACAGAGTTAATCTGACCAGAAGAAGCTTTAGGCTAAATTCTAGGGGAAAACTTGTCACTTTATGATCCAGTTGTACTAAATGAAAGGCTTTGTTTACAAAGAAGATTTTGGATCTGGGATCCATTGGAGCAGAAGTTACCTCCATGATTTCTTCCTTGTTCAACACACCAGGAGACTTGTAGTCTGATAAATGATTTTTCAGACATCTTCATTATTACCTTATTCCTTCTTTCTGAAAAAGAACAAGTGTTACAAAAAACATACTTAAGAAAGCACACAATTTTGACCTAAGGGCAAGAAGCCTTTGATAATAAAGACTTTGCAGCTTGCTTGCCAGTTTTTGAATTAAACAACAGTAATTATCTTGTTTATTTCAACAACAGAAAACAAAGTAAAATGATAAATTCTCATAACTTGATAATTATGCATTTAGCAGATTCAGGTTTTAGTGATACTCCAAAATGAAAATGTGGTAAGCAGATACATTAGACTATAGCATATATTAGCCACTGAGGAGGCAAATTCTAAAATAGAAGTTAAAGGATAAAAAAAAAATATATCCCCACAATCTTTTCATTAGAGAATCTTCTACAGTACTTTAAACTCAGTGGTATATGAAGGATCATCAAAATTAACATATGTCCTCACTGATTAAGAACAAACTAAGAAACACAGTCACACTGTATTTTTTATCACGTAAATAATTAACATTTTCATATGTTGTAACTTTTTAATACAATGTTACACAGATGGTAATACAAAAGTACAGCTGTGGCACTTTAATTGAAAAAAGTCTTAGAGATATTAGTCTAAAATTAATAGACTTTTGTGTGTAACATATTTTTGTGCTTTTGCAATCAGACATTAATTAGGATATTATTTTCTAAAAATACTTCTTATCCTGTACTTAGCTAATGAGAATAAAGAATTGAGATTTCATGTACTCATAAAATATGAGTTCTGGGGACTGAAATCTCTGATTTTGTAAGCAGCATGAAAAGTGTAAAGGACTTCAAAAGAGCAAATGGTTGATTATTCTTGATCTAAATATACATATATGAGTAACACACTCTTCCCAATTTGGGCAGTAGTTGTCACAAAGATAAACACTTCTATCTTTTGGCAAGTCTTTTGAGTACAGGAGTATAAAAGTATATTTTGTAATTACAAAGCATTATCTTGTCTTCAACACAAAATCCATTTTTTTAAAGAACTGAAAATCTTTAGAAAATATTGTATAATATTTAGGACATGATCAGCATTCAGGTATGTAACAAAAAGTAAAGAAAGAATCATCAGGGTTAGTTAGTCTTGCTCCTATGTAAGTAGTTGGGGTATTTTATCTTGCTAGAAATCAGAAAGCATTTTTTCTTAACAAAAAGACATTTTATAGAAATCTTGATAGAATTAAGCATGTCACACTCACTAACAGGAATGTCCCTAATACAGCAAGAGGTAGGGAAAGAGCCCTCCTTGCGATACCCCTATGCCAATGCTACAGGCAGTCTTCTCCTCAACTCATGAGTCCTCTTTTTTGGGACAAAGACAATAAAGGATGAGGACTATAGCCTGACTATGACTGTGCTGTTTTTTCTATAGTTAATGAAATTCTCATTCTCTACAGTCACTTTATGATCCTGAACTGTGAGACTTTATGTCTGAACTGTGCTTTCAACCAGTCGGTAACTGAGACACCACACATGGACATTAACATTGATATAATCTCTAAACACAAAGGTAGTAAACTGAGCTGTATCAAGGACTTTAAATAACTCACCAGAGCAAAAAGATATGGTCTAAAGCAGATAGCAAAGAAAAAAATAGCTGGTATGTCTTGGGTATCCAGCTCTAGCATTAAGTTCATAGTTCAAGAGCCTGGTGGAATGGGAGTGGAGGAAGCAGGGTGGAGGGGCATGAAGGGGATAGGAACCTATTTCTAGCCTGTTGGAAAGATCAGTTGATAAAGCCATAAAAAGAAATAAATAATTATTTCCTTACTTTTTAATTTATCTGCCCAGCTTTCCACCAAAAGGCAAGATTTCATTGCACCTGCAATTGCAGAAGATATTCAGTCTTGCAAGTCAGTGAAGTAAAAGTACATACAGAATTATTTTGTGAATCAGTAAGTGGTCAGAACAATTGCTTCAGTGTGTTAACTATGTCCTCTATTTATCTCAGTGCTTGGATAGCTAATTCTGACCCCTTTTTAGACACTTGCTTTCCCTGTTTACTTAAGAGACACCTATGTGACCAATGAGCCAGATTAAGTGAGGTCTGATAATTTCACTAAGATGTTAAATGAGTTAAACTTTGTTCTGCCATTAGACCAACATCTAAATATTTTTGGAAATTCTTATGTCTTCCTCAGCTGCAAGACAAAGAGAATGTTAAAGAAAATCACTGGGGGCAAGGATGTAAAAAACAGAGTCCACAGTAATGAAGAGTGCAGCATTATTATAGATTCACTGCTACTATATAGCCATAATATTTTGCCACTTCTGATTACTTCTGACTTCTGTGTAACTGGCCTAGATACAGTAGAAAAAATAATTTAAAGACAATTAAACAACAACAGAAAATAAAACCACATGAAATACTGGTGTTTTGTTTATGTGCAAGTAACATAAAAGAGTTTTCTATTACAGCCATGGATAAAATGCAGTTTGTTGTACAATCTGTTGTCTCATTTTCTCTCTATTTTTCTTTACCTTCTTCCTCTACAAACCTCCTTCATGACATTGCCATCTGTCCAGTATCCATTGCACCCTCTATTCCTTATGGAACCTGGACTCTATGGGAAAAATGGCCATGGTACAGCCAGAGATATAGTGGTTTGTCTTCCAGGATAGACTTAGTGGTGTCTAGAGGAATGGAGATGGAAAATGTGATAGAGAATTGGGGAGGTATCAGAATGGACAGGAGAGCTGTGCACACCAGCATCAGGTCTATGTTACATACTAACACTTCTGTTAAGGCATTTACGATCCTACAGCATGCCCACCTTCCAGTCAGAGAGCACACACTGCCGGATTCAGGTTGCTGGCACAACAGGTTGCTAGCACAACCAAGGAAAAGGAACACTCTGTGAGCTGGCTACTGACAACAGGAGAAGTTCAAAAGACCTCAACATGTTCGGATGAGCCAGTAAAATACATATTTTTTGCCTGTGGAAATTCTCTAGCCCAAGATTGTCTGCTTTTTCTCATGCCCTACACAAATACCAACCCTGAAACTCCTCTTGGAAGACTCATACTGGTGCTCAGGGAAGGACAGTATGCTGAGACAACAGTAAAGGGTTGTGCTAGGTAATGGTGAAGGCCCTGAATTGCTTGCTAGTCAGATGGGCAAGGAAAAGATTCTAGGATTGAAAATACGCTTCATCTTAAGGAGCATGTTTTGCAACAGCCTTTGATCCTGGCAGCCAGGTGATATTTAGAAAGACAACCCAGTTACTTGGTCACTAAAGAAGCTTTGTTCCAGCCATCTGAAATCATACCTAAGGAAACCATCCACACACACACAAAAAATCCCAGTTTCTAAAGTGAGCATAGGTTTCTGTGGTGACACAACCAATGCCAGGGCAGATAAAGCAGGTTCATTGTGTAGATGAACTCACAAAGCTTACTGGAATACCTTGGAGGCCTGTGATAAATGTACCTACAGACATACTGGTCCCTGTCATGAACTAAATATAGAACTAAAATACCAGTTTTCTTTCAACTAATGACCTTTCTGTGAGCTTGAGTTGTAACATAAGCAAACTCATATCTCGTATCTTTATAAATCCTACTTGTCTGCAATATCAGTAGACTAAATAGGTGCCATGCCTTTTGTTCAACTCCATCACCATACAGTATCTGCTTCAGGAAGGTGCTCAGTAATGTATGTCCCACCAGAAAGGACACTGACTGAGCATGCCATGTTATTTAAAGGGTTAAATAACATCTGATACATGTCTCAGTGTTTCATGGAGGGCTTTTGGCTTGATTACGTCATGCTTTATATTTTGGTAAAGGCATTTACAGATATGCATAGAAGGTGGATAACAAACAGTGAAAATGGTAAAGTATTGCATTCACTTCACTGACATGTGAACAATCTTCTGGAATTTGAAGCAGAACAGAATCGTGTCCCTAGAGATCCCAAGGCAGGCTCTGAAAGGACCAATAGTAAGAAATATATTCTGCTTAGGGCTTCTGGGAAGTTATCGATAGGAACTTAGCAAAAAGGCATAAAGCTTTTCTACCTTCTGCCAGTCAGGGAGCTGTTTATCTGTCACGTTCTAGCAGCCTCCAGTATCTCTACAAAGGCTTGGTTAGAAAAGATTTTTCTGGTTGAGATGTAAGACTGTTATACAAAAGATACAAAAGGCTTGATTCTATTTTGCCTGCTAACTTTACCGAATGTCAAAGAAATTACCCCAATTTGCATCAGCATACACAAACGTGGAATCAAAGAATTCTAATCTGACCAGGAGTCAATCAGCAGAAAAAAAAATCAACAAAACATACAGAGAGAAAAAACACAAACAAGTGAGCAGACCAGAGTGTTGCATATCTATCTCAAAACATATAATTTCCATTTGGAGGTTTATTGTGTTTTGTGGGGTTTTTTTTAGCAATGCATGAGTGAGCAAACCAAAAGCCTTGATGGGCAGATAAAAGTTGAAATGGAAAAGGACAGTAATGTTAAGATGAGTTAAAAGCTCTTTTTGACCCTATCCTTAACACCATCTCCCAAATGCTTCCCCTGTGAACTTTTTGTGTTGTATTCAGTTTGCTGAAACAGGGGATAGAGAGGCCAAACCAAGGATCTATCCCGCTTCATTGAGTAAAGCTAGCCTATCAGGGAAGGTGATGGGTTAGAAGTTAATACAAATGACAGTTCTAAGGCAAAGTTAGCCATTGCCTTCCTGTGGAGCCCAGTGCCAAGAAGGGGACCTCCTGCTGATCCCACTTCTTTACACTTCCTTTTGCTCTCCTTCCCCTTATCTTTGGGCCCTGCCGTGCCAGGCCAGGGGATCCTTATTAAAATACAATGCATTGTCACTAATAGAAGTGAGCAAAGCCTCATTAGCACAAGGGTTAGAAGAGGACTAGCTCTAATTACAGCTCACTTAGAAAAGGCAATCAAATGAATAGATAAACTCTTCAAGAGAGAAGTCAATTTTTTCTTGCATTTGGCCAAGAGTGGATTTCTTTAATATGTTCCTTTAAAAGGAATCAAATTCAC